TTTAAGTGGGAGAACTTGCACAATTGGTGGCCGACTAAATACTTTTTTGCCCCACTGTATACAGTAATTCACCCCAGGAAGGCTGCTGTTGCCAGCTTCTCACAGGGTTACATCAGCAGATGAATTAATCAGACTATCCGTGTGTACATACAGTACATCTTTTATGCCAACACAGGCAGAAATTTGTAGGTACATGTATGCATGTGCCCCACCTTTATAATATCATTTTTAAATTTAAAGGCTATATTGAACAGCTTATGTTACACATCAGATTTTTTTTTTCAGTTAGGCACAAGGGAGCTAGACAGAAACCAACTCTGTGCAAAACCAATTATCTATTTGCTAAACCACAGATATAATTAACTCAAAATCATAAACCAGCTATGAACTTCCAAACATGACACAATGGTTCAATCACCTTTTTCTTTTTGGTGCCTTTGAATCAGTGTTGTCTCCTGGCAACTTCCTGGACTAGTCCCTGCAGACTTCAGAAGCGGTTTGCCATTGCCTCCTTCCTCGGGCTGAGAGAGGGGGACTGGCCCAAGGTCACCCAGCTGGCTTCATGGCTAAGGCAGGACTAGAACTCCCGGTCTCCTGGTTTCTAGCCTGGGGCCTTCACCACGACACCAAACTGGCTCTTTTCAATAACCATTGTATCAGCCTGAAAAGATTCTATAATGTACTGGAAAGTACATTATAGAGTTGCTCAAGTTGCTCTTCTATGAAACTTAACAGCATCAGCACCGTTCCTAATATAGAAAACTAGAGAAGTTTTCTACCCTGCAAATCGCCTCTGTGCCAGCCAGCTTGGCCAACGGTTAGAGTCATGGATTAGGGAAAGCTAAAGTCCCATGAGATTCTCGGTTTGGTTTTGTTCATTTGGGAAATATTTATACCATTTTCTGGAAGTTATACAAATAACTATCAATATTAATAGAAAGAAGGGTCAGATAACGGACAAGGTTGAGCATACCATACCTGGGGCTCTGGAGGAAAAAGTGCTTGAATTAAACGATACAAGTTCCCTAAGCTAAACTGAATGCTGGTGTTGGTTAGATTCATTTCGTGGAAGTTTACGGAGCTGCCCTTGGGACAAATGTCACATTCCCCAGAGAAAGGAGAAACTGTTATGGTATTCTTCAAGTTATACTGAGGTAAGTTGTCACTTAAGCCACCATCCACGTAGCGCTTTAAGGAAGAGAGGAAAAGGAGAGAGAAACATGAAATGTCTTCTTTGCTTAAGCAAAAACTCATTTATTTCATGCAAGATGAATGAGCTTAAAATGTTAGAAATCACTTACTAAATGCTAGAAATAAATGATCAGAAGTGGGTACATAGAATTCCTGTAAATCGGGAAAGCTACCAGAATTGAGGGAAAAAAATGTTTAAAACCAAGCATATTTTCTGGATGACAGGAGAAGATTAAAAGGTGGGGGGGGGGGATGAACTGCAGAACTTACAGGAATTGCTGGAGATGTATCACTAGAAAAAACTTTTCTCGTTCTATCTGGAATTTAAATAAGACTGCTGTTCCCCTGTCAAGTTTTCATTTACCATTTATCAGGACCAGTTTCAGTGATATGATTCAAGAATTTAATTTCAGCTGTTGCGGTCCAAAGTTTATGCCCATAGCCCTCTACTTCATCCATCTTCCACGCTGCACAGCAGTAAAATGTTTGTCTTTTAATGGTTGGTTGTGACTACGGAATTATTTACATTAAAGCCACTATTTATTTATTTATTTATTTATTTATTTATTTATTTATCTGCCCATTTCACAAAAAATAAATCATGGTGTTTTTGTAATAAGAATGGGAACTGGAACCAATATAGAGTTTTTACTCAGTGATAGCAGAGAAATGAAAGAATCTTCAGAAAATCTAGCAGCGTATTTTGTATTTTTCATTTTACTAAATCCTTTCAGATAATGCTCCAACCGACTGAACTAAGAAAACCTATCTAAGTGGATACATTAAAAAAATCTGGAACAGCAGCGTTTCCCCCCCCCCCACAAAAATATTTGTAACATCAAACCACATTGAAATACGCTGAAGTAAAATAACATAAAAATAAAGCTGTCACACACAAACAGATCTAGCTCAAGAGTGTACTTTTAGGCCTCAGATCAATTTACCTTTCTTGTTACTAACTCAGAAAGGCAAGAATCAAAAAAATAATGATCAACATAGACCCAGTTTCTTTATAGCCAATATGCAGATACTCTTTAAGATGATGCCTCCGCTTCCAAACCTGGTCCTGAAACACACTGCCCAAGGGAAGGCTTCAAGGTACGAGGATTAATCATTAACATCACATTTTTGAGGCAGGGTCCTTTTCTGCTGCGCAGGACAGTTCTCAACAGCCCCCTTTCCAAACAACAACTGTGTTTGTGCCCTGCAAATCTCTGCACACATCTAGCCTTTAACACCAGAATCGATGCAGTGAATGCAGACTAATCCATAGCACGCTAAACTCACATATCAAAGTATCTGCGTACCATCTCATGTCCTACACTGTAGATACGACATCATACCAGCCTTAGGTAGGGAAAAGAAGAATGGAGAACGCAAGGTCCAAAGGGGGCTCAGGACCATAATGTCAAATATTTTAGCCCACCCAGACCACAACTGATGAAGATCAGCAGCGTGGTTTCCCAACATTTTGATGTACATTTTAAAGTAGGATGAACATTGCTGTGGTTTTTTTAAAGAACAGGAATTCTCCAAACTCCCTCTAAAAATCCTAAGGAAACGACAGACACTTTAAAAAGCAGTCTTATACCTTTGCTGATCATATAACAAAATCTACGATTTTAAATCAAACGATTATGGAATTCAAATCCTTATATAGATTTTAAAAAGCCAAATATTTTTTTGCAGAGCTCTCTTGTTGGTAAGTTTTCTTTCGCACTTCTTCCCACAACTGCATATAAGAGCAATTTTTTCCTCCACAAGATTTTCCTTCACCCACCTGATGAATTTGACTTGATCTACCAATGCTTATACAAAAAGAAATATGTTAATCTCTAAGTTACCACAGTTTTAACTCTAAGAAAGAGACCGCGAGCATATAAAAATACAGCCAGTCTCAGTTTATCTCAGTAATATCCCATGCTAATTTATAACCAAGAAACAATACTTACCACCCCTCTAAATGAAGGTGGGATGAGGCCACAATATATAGGTACAAATGAACTACAAAGCAAGGCCTATAGAAGATAAAATGAAGATTAGCTGTAATTATTTCTAATTGCAGGAAAAAAGCGCCTTGTAACAATGCAGGTCACAAATGAAATTCCTTTAGAGAACCCTTTCCAATTATCAGACTGCTGCCTTCTAGGGAGAAGACCCTTTTGGTGAGCCCCGTGTTTCTGAAACAACTTTTGCCAAAAACGGGCTCCCATTCTTGTAGCTTTTATGAAGGCAGTTTATCTCACCATAATTTTCCCTTACTGATCATCAACAGATTTTTAACAAAAAGCAAATGAATACACATACCTAGGCCCACTGTCAGTGGAATAAGATAGGAGTAAGTGACCTTTTCCAGTCTGAGGTTCTTAAAGTTAGTCCAGAAAGCATGAAAGCACAATCCGGGGGAGGAGGAAGAGGAAGGGAGCGATGTGGTATGGATCTCAGAGAGTTGTGTGAATGAGAGAGATCTGCATGCAACCCTGGGGCTACTCACATTACTTGGGGGACCCACCCTCCACTGCCATGTAGCATCAAAAAGGCTCCCAGAGAAGAACTGTAGTCCATGGCATGAAAAGGGGCAACATGGAAAAAGAAAGAAAAGTAGCATGCCTTGGACACTGGCACACCACAAATGATTCTGCAGCATTTTAGTACACACATTCGGTCTCTGGAGAATGCTTGGCAACCGAGCGCAATTCATCAATGCCCAGCTGCAAACTGAATATATTCTGAAGTACAGCCTCTTTTCTGCAAGCAGAGAAGAGTGATAACAGCTGGCCTGGATAACACTGCTTTAGGGAAACGCTTGTCTGCTGCTACATACAAGTATTAAATAAATCACAATGGCATCAAACTAAACAAAATCTCCATTGGGAGTAGCTTAAACATGAGGCAACCTTCTTTGATGAACAAGGCCCAAGGCTGGCCCTTGCTTCCTATGCAGTGTATAAGAGCAAACCCATTCACCAGATGAAGCAGCAGCCCCCAGGAGTCTATCGGGGCCAAGGATTCATGGATTGCATCACTTTAAAGCAGCGTTTC